GCAGAGAGTATTCCTCCACGAAATAGGCCAATTAAAAAGTAATTAATCTCTTGGAGAAGTAAAAGTTACGATATATTTAAGCAGTTAATATAACTGCGAAATTTAGTCTGCCTATAGTGATGTGAACCCTATATAATAACAAGAGCTATAAATGTATGGCTAAATTAAAAACATGCAAATAAATTTAACTATGCGTCCGGGAATCCCTTATTTTTAATGTGGAATAAATATCAATTAAATAGTTCACATTACAATTTCAAAAACACATGAATAAATAGGCACCAGTATCTAACCCCCCAAAGCAATATTAAAAAGTAGCAGCTAAAAGAATACCTAGAATACCTAAAAAATGAGGCAAAGCATCATCGGTAAATTAGTAGATACCAAGAGTTCGGCCCAATTTTAAATAGTTGTACACAAGTAGAGCAAAGCCTGGAGTTCGGCCATACTATAAAGGAATGTCAGAGCATTAAATGTGTGGTAGGATAATCAAGCTTAGGATAAAATACATAAACAAAACATATATTACCGAAATTAGGCCTGGAGTAAGAAGGATAAAAGTCGGGTGGGGCAATTGGGAAGTCGAGCTTGTCCTTCAATTGTTCTTCATTCTCTTTCTCAAACTTGATTCCTATAAAAAACAGTGTAGCATAAAATATTTATAAATAAGTAATAAAGATAAGGCTAAAATAAAATAACCAACCAACATCATGCCAAAGGTCCCGGGAAAGTTCGCGTATTTCATAGAATTCGTCTTGTTGGCCGGTAAGAAGCAATGGTATGAGCCGCAGATGATATGAATATCTGTCTGTCAAATTTAGAAGCCATGATCCGACAACGTCAATAACTTCCTTTCGAACAGCTGGACTTGGATCAAAAAGCCTTTGGGTCAGAGGCGGAATTATTTTCTCAACATGTTTTCCAGGACTATTCATCATTACCACCCCAATGGTTTTTATTGCCTCCTGTCTGATTTTTGAATGCTGATGGGTTATATTCTCCACAATTGGATCAATGATATCCTCTGATTTAACATAAAAAGCTTGCTCTAGCTTGATTGCCAAAATTCTGAGGAGCAAAAAGGCCAACTTTTTAACTTCAGGATAACTGTCAGCTACGGAAGATTTAAGAATAAGCATATATTCTGTTGAATATGATTTGTTATTCTTGCACTTTTCCACTATATTATGTAAAACGGTGAGGTAGCCGAAGCGAAGCTCTTCAGCGGGCTCTACGGACTCTTTTTCGGCAACCCGCCTCACAAGGACGGGTAATAGATGTGGAACCAATTTTTCGATACATTCTGCTTCAGAAATGAGTTTCATTAATATTTCAATAATCATTTCTCTATGTGATTCTACAGTATCAGAGAGTGCATGAGACAATTGGGGAGCTAGAATGTCTAGCAGGGTCTCTATGTCTTCCGCTTCCTTAGCCGCTAGCTTTGAATCAACTTCAGATTTGATAATAGAAATAGCGTTTCTCCTTTTTGATTTGTCAGCATCTTGTATGAGATTCAAAACCCTGTTGATATTAGGAAAACTCGACAGAGCACCAGGTGCCATACCACAAGAGTGTGCTTAATTGTGTAGCCAATAGAGACCAAGTTTTTAACAAGAGCATTTTGTATTCTCATATACTCAGACATGATAACTTTCCTTGCAAATTTTTAATATTAACTATCTAGTACAGTAAATGCAAATATATTGTTTCTAAAAGTATTTTGTCTATTAGGAGAATGATGCATTCCTCTAGCATGAATAAAATGAAAGATGAACAAATAAAGATATGCAACAAGAAATTAATAG